CCCCTGGCCACTGGTCAGTCACCTGTGCAGCCTGGAATCTGTGCACACAGAAGCACAGATGAAAGCCACTCCCATCCAGTCACACATCAGCTATGGGTGCTGTCTGGAGTCCCCGTCCCCTTGGGGTGGGTAGATCCTGCTGTTTCTCTGTTTTGGTTCAGTCTCCACTGTCCACCTGACCAACACCTTGGTCCAGTAAGAGCCACTTCCTCTGAGCTGCTAAGTTCTGCCCCTGACTACATCACCCTCTGTTCACAGAATGGCACCTGCTTCCTCTCCACCACCCCCTTCCCCCTCCAGGTCACAGCCAGGTGGTTTTTCTAGAAGAGTCCATCCTGAAACACCCCTTTCCACCACGGGGTGTCCCCACCACCCCTCAGGCTCACCTCCATCCTGCCCACACCCTAGGGGCCAATCGTGTGCAGCTTTAACCCTCCGAAGACAGGGCTCTTCATGCCATCCCGCACACTCCTGCTACTGGGGAAAGACAATTGGTTGGCCCATCCCATAGGTATTCCCAGTCCACTCTTTTCCTCGTTTCCTCCTGCTCCAGAAGTTGGAAAGGTGGTATTGGCTCTCAGTTGGGAATGGCATGGGGCATATTTATGGGCAGATCTGGCCAATGAGATACAAGGCAATGTCTGTAGAGTCATCTAGAAAAAAACATTGCTTCTCCCTTTCTCTTGGAACATAAATGTGAAACCTGAGGCTGCAGAAGCCACCTTGTGACCATGAGGCAATGACCCCTAAGAAGAAAGGCCAGCAAGATGAAGAGAGGGGTTCTGAAGGGTGGAGGGCAGCTGAAGGGTTGATGGAACCACCGAGCTGCTGGGCCACCCCCGAGGCCAAGTCCCTCAGCTCCTTGATGAGCGGGGTCATCGGCATGTATTTGTTTGGGTCAAAGGTATTCTACTTCTTGCAGCTGTCCCCTGCTCGACTCCTCTTCCTCACACAGGGAAATGTGTGTGAAGCACCAAGCTCAGTGCCCAGAACAATCGCCAAGCTCAGTGCATGGTGGTCGCTGTCCCTCCTCCCCCGTGTCATCTGCTGGGAATACACCGCACCTAGAACTTGCATTTTACTTTACACACAATTAGCTCCTGTGAAAGAAACCAGACTGAGGACATCTGGGTAAAGTGGGGCTTCCTGGCAGGGCCATCTCCAGTACCTGAGAGGAAGGGTGGGCAGCTACCCAGGGCCAGCCAGGCCCTCACGGCTGTCCAGCGACCAGCACTGCCTAGAGCGCCATCTTCCTGCCTGTGGCCAGCCACGACTTTCCCCTCTCTCCCTCTACACGCGCCTCCTCTCTGCCACAGGCAGAGGGACACCCAGACAGGCCTGCAGTTATTCTGGGAGTCCTGAGCAGGGAGACTCGAGGTTTAAGCTCAAAGGATCTGGGAAGAGTTCCTATGGGCCTGGCACGGTCAGGTGTCTATCTGCCAATCAATCACCTGTGAGGGGCGGAGCTGTACCCCAGGGCTCCTCTGGGCTCCACCCACTGCAAAGAAGGTGGCGCTAGGACTGCGGCAAGACCTTGGTTGCTGTGTGGCTTCTCCTCTAGCCACCACCCTCTGCCTCCCAGCACAGAGAACAGGTCTCCTTTAAGGAAGGGATAGGCCCCTGGCAAGTCTACAAGCTTATAAAGCTGAAGGTCGTCCCCAAATGCAGAACCTGAGATCAGGAGGTACTTGCAGCTGGGTGGACGAGCCAAGATGGAGCTGGGCAGTGAGCCCAGGAGGGGCAGAAGCCAGTTCCGGTTGGATCCCAAGGTCCCTCCTGCAACAGTGGGCTCATGACCCCAAGAGCACCTCTGAGAAGTACACCGAGGCCTGGGGGTTTCTGCTTACAGGACAGGAGCGGGAGCCTGGGGTGGTCCAGGAGGGCCTGAGCTTGCCCGCACGCAGTCAGCCGAGAGTGAGATGCCCCAACTCCTGGCAGGTTCAGGCCTGAGTCCTCTTGCAGGTCAGGAAGGGTTTCCATGGAAAACTAGCCCAACCCGATGTAAAAGA